TCGGCACTGGCGGCGCCGCGCAGCGAGGAGCTGGCGCGCTCGGCGTCGGGTTCCGCGTTCAGTCCTTACCCGGGCTCGGCGGCCTTCACGGCACAGGCGGCCACTGGCTTCGGCAGCCCGCTGCAGTACTCGGCCGACGCCGCCGCCGCCGCCGCCGGCTTCCCGTCCTACATGGTAACCGCACGGGCGGGCGGGGACGCGGGACACTCAGGCGTGGGGACCCTGCTTTGGGCGCAGGAGGAGCGGGCCCGGGGGTCTGCGAGCAGGGGTGCGGGGAACTTGCGGCGGGCTGTGGTTCCGGAGCGCGGACTCGGGCCGCCGCGCCGCTGGCGGGATAAGAGGCCAGGGTGAGTGTAAACGCGGCCGGCCGGGACCCGCGCCCCGCGCCCCGCGCCGCTTCCCTACGTCTATCGGGGTAATTTTCCCAAAGAGCCTGAAAGTGCGACTAAGCTGGTATTGGGATCTGTTGTGCGTTGTCCTTAGTTCAAGCGCCGAAGCTTGGCGAGGGGTCTATGGCAGGCTCAGGGCTCGCTTCCTTTGGCGCGGGGAGCGAGGGTCGGCGCCACTAGGACCTCCAGGGCGGCTGCGGGGACTTAGCAGTTACTTGAGGAGCTTGCGGAGGTCACCGGGTTGGGGGAGGGAGCGAAGTACTCGCCAGGGGCTCTGGGGCCCGGCCCTGCCAGCCTTGGTCTGGTTCTTAATCTGTCCCGCAGGCAGTGCTTTCGAAAAACGTGTCGATGGGTCTCTGGCCCGCCAAATACCTTCCCGGTCCCCTGGGCACTGAAAGCAGCTCCTGCTCTTGGACCCGGGCTCGGCCTGTGCGCCTCGGGTCTGCTGCTGGGCCCGGCGGCGGTGGCGGCGGAGCTCGTTTCGGGCGATCGAGGCACTTAGGGGGCTGTCGACGCTGCCCGCCCTCGGTGGGATTCCAGGGCTGCGACAGAGTAGCTGGGGCCTTGCTGAAGGCAGCAAAGGCTTCGAATTTAAACGTTAAAGGCTGAATTAAAATGCTAATTACCGCGTATTTGAAGAATTCGAAACGGTGACTGGCTTCTGAGTTGCAAATTGGATTTGCTGAGCTTTCGAGCGGTGAATAGCGGAGCCAGGGGCTCGGGGTGATTTTTTAACCATATAAG